AGGTTCCAAAGTACTTCGAGTGTTGCAAAACAACTTTTGCAAATGTTGTTCCTGCATGAATTTGTGTATATATGTACATTTATACATACAAGCTAATACATATTGCTGGTGTTTTTAATTTGGTGCCATTAAAAATAATTATACTGCTAACCATGGAACCTTGTCCCATCTATGACAAGCACTTACAATGATCCATAATATTAAAGATTCTCAAATAATACATATTGTTTAAAGCACAATAATAGTCTTGATAGATTTATTTTATTATACATTTTGATTAGAGCTGGGAGATAATAGTACTATCACTATCATTATTTTGCTCTCAAAATGTCATAATAGTGCATATAACATGATTGTTTTCCCTTTACAATGACATGCTTGCTCAGCAATGAATTTAAGGTACAATGGGCTGAACGCACAATTTAGATTTCGGGACACAAATTGTTTTCTTTATACTTTTTCTACAATATATAATTTTTTCAATTTTTTTGTCAATAGTGAGATGCAATAAACTTTACTAAACTTGGTAAAATGGATGAAAACTGAGTAAAGAATTCTTGAACATGATGAGAGTACTTTAATTTTTAGTAATATCATTGTGTTTATAATATTATTTTCTATTGATGTATGTTGCATCATTTGGCAAAAGTTTTCAAGTTTTGCAAAATGGGCTGCAATCTCTCATAAAGTTTTGTTGACTTTCAAACATCAGTGTATCACAAAACCATTTACTGCATACAAACTTGATTGAGTGTTTGCCTTCATTATGCCACGATTGCAAGCTTTAGAGCTTTGTAGAGCCTGGATTTACAAGATAAAACAGCTAAATAAACAATAGTCAGGAAATACATACTGGTGGCCATTTTTATTAATGGTTTGACTAATATGACGTCATAACTTAACCCCACCTTGCAATTAATTTTTACCGCCAGTTTTATAATATACAGAGGTATCCAGAAATGACACAAGATCAAACATGGCGTATAAGTATGAAAAGTTATGCAGGAATTTTTTTTAATATTTAAAGTTAAATGATCTATAACTTCTAAACAGTGCATGGTAAAAGTTTAAAAATAGCACAAGTTGTACAACTTTTTTTTACTATAAAATGGCAGCAATTAAAAAAATATTAAAATTTCATCCAACAGTACGTTAATCATAATTTAATAACAATTATTGTCGTTTATAGTTTTTACTATACCAAATAATGTTATTATGATTAGTCTAGATTTTCTGCTGAAACACCATGTTCACATTGCTTGGAAGGAAAGAAGCCCTTTTCTCATTAGCTATGCCTCCAACAAGGCAGAAAACTCGTTTACAAGGAAGCGATCTCGCAGCAATAGCCAAGTACACTGTACACAGCTTACAGAAACATGGTGCCACACTTGTTTTTACATGTGTGCATGCTCAGTAAACACGTGCTGCTATTGTGCTATAACAATTTTTAAATCATTTTGTGATAGCTGATAAAATATCGCAATATCTTTAGTATCAATACTATCGACCAGCCCTAATTTCAATACATAATAGTAATGTACGTAGTACATGTATGTCCACAACACAAATACTAGACACCCACACATTACTAATACATTATTTATCGGCATGCATGTGCCAATCTTAATTTAAACTACTGTAAAAAAACTGAAATCTGTTGTCCAACTATGACATACAATTATACAAATCCGTTCAATATTACTTATAATTAATATTTAAAGATTAGGCATAGATGGGGCAAGACAATACAAGGTTAGTAGTATAATTACATTTATTAAAAGCAAAATAAAAGGTACTAGTACCAGCATTATGTATATATTTATGTAATCTCTTGCAAAATCCATGCATAAATATTGTTTGTCAAGCTACTTTAAAACTTCAACTTAAGTATATAGTAAGCTCATTTAGTGGCTTTTGTAGACTCTGATCCTACTGTAGTTAAAGTGTAAGTGCAGTGATTTTTTAGGGTATTTATTTTATGGTCTTTATATGATAGCCTGACCATAATAATGATGTTTTCCAACTCCCATTGTCTAAAAAAATTTATTCACTGAGATATGAGCCTTCAAAGATGCATTTTTTGCTTCCTGCCAATTTACTTCCTGCCGGTGGGTGTGGCTAAACGTGACGTCATAAGAGGCATTTATGCAGAAAACTGCATTCCTCTATAGGGGGAAATAATTCTTTATTTTCATGCCTTGTAATGTAATATTAACAATTTAAAGGTTGGCATTATTAGCTTTCATAACAGAATAATTCACATTGATCTGCATTTTAAAAAAATTATTAATTTTAAACATGAATTTCAATAATAATTTTATAGTCTAGCTGTCTTTATATGTAAAATGCATTTTCTAATGTGGCTAGAATAAAGTATAGAATAAAATTTTGGATGTAATTAATTTCGGCAAATTTGTCATTTTGATAGCCAATCACCAAAAACATTCGCCGCTTTGAACCATCATGCACATGCTCAATGGCACCTGGCCACAATTATTTGCGAAATTAAAATTCGCCAATCACCAAAATTTTGCAATTTGCAGTCCCTCCAAAATTTTCTTCTGTACAGTACTTATTTCAGTGCGGTTGCAGTCTTTTCAAAGTATTATGTTTGTTATCTAACTGCTAGAAAGCTTTCGTGGATTGCCCCAACTTTAGTTGAGATAGTCGCCATTTTTCTTCCTGTGACAACACCTATTTTAAGTAGGAGCATAGGCAGAGGTTTCTTTTTACTCCAATAGAATGTGTATAGAAGAAATTTGAAGTTTAGACATACGAATATTTAAATATAAATAGCGAGACAATGAAAACAATTTTGGGAACAAGCGGGAACTGTGCCCCAGGTCGTTCAATATGTTTATGAATGTGTAATTAGTAGATGCCAAATGGACAAAAAGAAGCCAAAGACTTGGTACATTGCTTGTAATTTATCCAAAGAATACTCCACTCATGTGTTGTATGAGTCATTTGCAGAGATATGAAAGTCAGGGACCATAGTTTACATAATAAAGTTATAAACTTTTGTTTTATAGGTGTTTGTTATATAGCCAAGTACACAGATGATGGTGCAAGTAGCAAGAAGAATAAGATGAACTTAAATATCTGAAAATCCCTTGAGATGGTCACATGTCATTTTGATTGGAGAACGAAAGAAATACTGAGTTGTATGATGGAGAAATGTGAAAGAGCAGATGTTGTATGAAAGCTAATTGCCTGCTATCATGTTTAATGCATTTTAATGCTGCATGATTAGCTATCTCTATTATTAGTGTACAATTTAAAAGTGGAATTCTTATATTATTTGGCTTTTTTAAATGATGTAAAGGCTTGTGATGCTTATTGTCACTGTGTGTCAGCTGCAAGTACTAGATATAAATGACTTTCTTAAACTTTAATTTATTAGCAAGGTATACTACAGGGCTGAATGTGTCAGCACAGGCAGAAAAATGATCATAGAGAAAACCAAGTTTCATTATTGTATTGTCTTTAAGTTGGTTTAATGGTTCAATCTTTCTTCAATGGAATTGATAATTGATATTAATTGTTTTGTAACTTGTGAATGATGTTATCTATTTATACTTTAAGCCCCCATACACTGGGCAACTTGTTGCCTGCAACATGGTTGTAGGCAACATGTTCATCAAAAACAATACACTGGAGCAGCTTGTTCCTTGCAACACATGTTATTAAGTTGAGAAAAAGGTTTATAAAAATGGCTGATTTTTTGCAAGTTAATGCGTGTGGTGTTGTACTCGCAGTTGTAATAACTAAAAAGCATAAGAAAGAAAAAATCGTAGGATATGAGTGAGGGAATGGATGAGCAGCCGCCCTGCCCATGAAGTATATCATCACTTGTTACAGGAGGTTGAAACAGCCAATACAGCTGATTTCAAGCACTTAATCTAATGGTTGTCGCCTCATTTCAACTTCTATTGGGAAAAGTATCTCCAAGTATCAACAAACAGGACACTTGTATGCGTCAAGCCATTTCTCCTAGAGAGTAGCACTTACATTGAGATTTTTGATCAAAGGTATGAGCCAACCATTTTGTTAAGTTGTTGAATGTGACTGTTAATAATTGTTTTAAAAATAGGAGAAAGTTACTCCAGTCTTCAGTATTTTTATAGGGTACCATCACAAACGATTCGAAATAATAGTTAAAACATGTATGGCGATTAATATGAAAAATTTTTTGAAGGTACATCCATATGGTCAAATGATTATACAAAGTAAACATTAATGTTAAGTAGTTTCATTATTCAAAGGCTTTCACCATTAGTTACACGGTTGAGTTTGGAGGTAGACTAAGTGGGTATGGTGACATTGCGCTAGTTTGAAGGTATCAATGTTAAGCAGCACGGCAGTGTGAGAGCAGCATTGGTGGGTTGCAGGAGTAAAAGATGCTTAATTCTGCTCCATACAACAAAAAATGAACATTCAGCCTTCATTAGTCTGTCTTCAATAGAGCGTAACTCAGAGGCAATGAATTGAGCGAGTATTTCATTTTCATGTTCGGTACAGGATACTGTATGACCCGATATAAAAAAACCAGGCTATCTGTGGAAATTATCATTTTGAGTTATTGGCTCATAATTGCAAAAAATTTTACCTAGGCTCAATTCAATTAATTATAAAATCATGTTATACAAACAAAATCCTTCCTTTTGACACAAAAATCGGCAGTAGCGAAGCCTTTTTTCCTGAGTTATAAGCCCTTTCACATTTTCATAAAAAACTACACAATGAATGGATTAATACCAAACTTACAATTAAATGTTACGTAATTAATTTTATTAGAGTACATGGAAATGCTGGATGACACCAAATGCATGCTTTGACTTATGACTACATTCTCAGGGCTCTTCTGTTCGTCAGAAATTACGCTGAAGTCCATTGAATCAGTCTTCCTGGACTCCAGAATACCGGAATGAAAATTTATGAGAATAAGAATTTTATACCATGCAGTACATGTAAAAGGCAAGTACACTTAAACGAGAAGGTGCGGTATAAAAGGCGGTGCCCTGGGCATGGTGGTTTCCGTTTTTTTACACGTGTAAAAATGTCTGCTCCAGATGGTGTTGGTTCTTTGAAGAAACGCGCAAGAAGAGAGGGTTTTCGGTACCAAATGGAGCTGAATTTTGGCCAAAAGGAAGACAAGGATCATTTTCTAGCTAGGCTTGATCGAGTTAAGGGGTCTTTAGCTACTAAAAGGAGACGGCCTGTTGACAACATGGAACTGCTGTCTCACTTGCTCGATCTAGCTGAAAAGGAGGAATCTGAAGTTCAGTCACAGGATACAAGTAGTTCTTCTGCTATGCTGAATACCTCAGGTAGTTATAATATGTTTAAATTATTAATGATAATAAATAAGGTATATACGCTGGTGATGGGGATGAAGAGCAGCCATTGTTTGTGTGTGAAGTATCTGCTTTTGAGGATTTGGTTTTGGGAATGACTCGTTGGTGTACGTGTGGCATGGTCAATCGAAAGATGATCAGTTATAGACAGGTATCTTAGAGTATTATTTCATAATTTATTTTCATTGTTATTATTGTTATAGTCCGGTCACGTGATTCGTGCTGAATTTCAATGTCAGTCATGCAATCGAAAGGAATGGTGGGCCAGCTCAAGTTTATTAGGCAGTAGATACCTAATTAATCAGAAGTAAGTATAAAGTGTAATGGAAAGTAAAGGCATTAATATTATTTTAGGCTCATACATGCGTTTACTTGTGCTGGAATGCTCCCATCACAATACTACCATTTCTGTAGATTGGCATCTCTTGGTACAGTTGGTAAGAGGTACACTGATTCAGGTAATTTTAGTTTTGAGCTTCATTGTAGCATTGTAAATGTATTCACTGTAGTATATAATTCAAAGGGGTATGTAGCTGCTATTGAAAGTTGTGCTGAAGCATCAATGACGAAGGCAATTGATGAAATAAAGGCAACCTCAGAATATGAGACTGATGGAGAGGTACTGTATATTAATAATAGTTCATAATTATTTTTATTAATTCATAGTGGGTCATCACTGATGCTAGGCATGACTCAACAGCCAATGCCTACCATACAACTGTCCCGTGTCTTTCTGGAAGGTACTTGTATTTGTAGTGTATTTTACTTCACTTTGTACATCAATTTCTTTAGTATCCACAAGATTGTTGGCTGTGTGACACTTTCCAGAAAAGAACACACCTGTGCACAGACGAGGGAGCTTGCCTGTACTAAGGAAGTATTGCCATTAGTAATGTCAAAAGGTACTGAAAGAAGTGAATGAATTGTTTAATGAAATAAAATAGGATTGAATGTTACGGAGGTAGCTCATGACAATTCACCATCTGTGACGTCATATATTGTTGAGGAGTTACAACTGAAAAACTCTTATGACACATGGCATGGTAAGTAGTTATACTTTTTCTTTTTTCTATATGTTTGTAGGGACTAAAAATGTAGCAAAAGCAATGACATCTATAGCAACAGGGACAAAGAAAAGGGCAGGTATAACTTGGTATCCAGAACTGTCAGATAAGAGTAAGGGACAATGGAAAACAATATGATTACATGTACATGTATCATAGGAAAGAGTACGAAGACACACCTGTACTACAGTATGAAGAACTGTAATAAGTCTCCAGAGAATCTACGAGACTCGATCACAAATATTGTTGATCATTATCGAGTTAGATATTTTTAGTATAAGTATGTTGGTATATGTATGTGATAGGGTAAACACTCCAACTGTAATCAGTCCTCCAGCTGTAGACGTCCTGGGTATGCACCATCAAAGAAGCTTATAACTGACCCCAATGCAGTGGAAGCATACACTAGGAAGTTGAAGCAAACCTTGATATATGTAAATGCTGAATCATACTGTTCGGAAAGTAGTTTCAGACTGCATTGTATATTACTTTATAATGTTTTACAGTGTCAGGATACATTTTGGGTGGAGTCATTCAATCATCATCTACTCACTTATCTCCCCAAAAGGATTCATTTCGGTACTACAACCTTCAGAATGAGAATGAATATCGCAGTTATGGATTGGGTAAGACTGATATTTACTAATACTGATTTAAAGTGATACTCTTAGAATGAAAATGTTGAAAGACCACACACGAGTGAACGGTATATCTTTGACATTTGAAGACCAGATAGGCGTACACCGTTCAAAGCATTAGTTGAGAAGACATACCAGTTTGCTGATAATGTGTGGAAGGTATATTTGCAGAAAAATCAAGTAGACATAAGGTAAATTAATTAAATTATGCGTATCCATTACTGTCATTTTGGATCGACTGTAGGCCTAATGAACCAGTTGAAGAGGTTTCAATATGTGAAGTTCTTGATGATGAAGATGATGAAGACATTTTTCTGGATGGTGATGAGGTAGATGAGGTAGATGATGAACAGGAAGACTATTGAAGTGTGCTTGCCACTTTTATTGATGTCATTGTTTGTTGCTGCATTTTGTAAATTTTAAAGTGTTGAGGTATGATTTTTGATTATATGTACATCACTTATGATATGTAGGTGATGGTTGTGAGGCCCAACAGTTATAAAAGCTTGGACGTATTTATGAAGAGGGATTACATGTATAATGGAAAAAGCTAAGTTACTAACATACTAACAATTAATTAATTATTTTATTATTAGGACGGCTGAAAGTCTGTGTATGGGACGCCTGGTGGATTTGGGTACCGCCTTCTCAGTTCCTAATACACATAAGTTATTAGTCAGACTTTTATCAATATAAGACTCACAGTGACAATGCACACAGGCATTACCTCCCTCTTGTCATCACTGGAGGTGAAGGTTGCCTTCAGTGCGACATACTGAGGTTCCTCCCATACTCGGAGCCTTGCCAGCAGTGACCAGAACTTCCGGTAGAGAGAATACCTTTTCGTGGCATTAGAGAGACTTGGGCTGGCACTGCCCCTGAGCCATGACGGTGGTTTTTCAATGATACATGGCGTCAGGTGGCAGTGCGGACACGCATTGTCCCCACCAAGTACCGGAGGCTCGTCAGCATCCCCGTATCCATTCAGCCCTATTATTAATATTATTATTCATTTTTGTCTTTTTTTAATTATAAATTTTTTAATTTACTTCTTCCTGTTGACGGTTGAATATTTCCACTGACAGTCATAGGACGTGGCTGAGGACAAAGACGAAGGGGTCTTGTGCTGGAATCATTCCCTGAAGATGGCTGACTGCTGCTGGTAGTGGTCTGTTGTGTGCTGGTGCTGTTGAGGGCTATATCTTCACCACTTGCTTGTATAGCCTGCCGGACAGCATCATTGATAGCCTGTGTTAGGCTGTCAGACACATCTTCAGAATATATAATATGAATCTTGAGAAAAAAATATTTTAATGAAATTTGATAATAATTGTTTTCACTAGTTCAGGTGAACTATACCGTTTTCCTTGTAGCCATGCTGTCTACATGTGCTTGTGGGTTTATAGCCTTGCCTTTACAACTTTTAATGTTATTTTGGTGTGTTATGCCACTGATTGAACCATGATAACAGCCATGCCTTTGCGGCAGCCATTTTGTAACTTTCAAATGTCAAAATGTGGCCGCCATATTGTGCCCAGGGCACCCCCTTTTATACTGTGATCGACGGAAGCGATTTCATGACGTTACGTGAATAATTATATAGTGCACCTTCTTGTTTAAAGTCTGCAGAATAATGTGTAGGGCTTCAGGTCAAGGCAAGTGCTCAAACATTTGACATGTTGTGATGACACTACCTGCCTTATATTGAAAAAATGAAGCCTATGTGCTGCCACTTGTAAAGAGATAAGTTCACTGATTATAAGAAGTGCTGACATGCAATATGGAAAGGATAACTAAGGTAAGTTAGAACTGTAATATCTCAAGTATTATATTTATCACAGTCAGGCAATGCAAAAGGCACTGCATCACGGAAGTATGGTTAGAAAGGAAAGGTAGTACAATTATTGATAAAATGGCTGTGTACTGATGTGGCAGACAATTACAATCCCCCACTGACAAGGCCACTTTCTATGCGAATTATTGTAGCACATTATAGCTTTCATTATGCTCAACAGGTAACATTTTATAACATTACAGTGTATCTAGCCTATTTACTTTTTTAAGGTTCACTATCCTTTAAGTCGACTGCAAGCAGGTCAAATATACTTTCTTACTCCAGGAATTGTGATATCATTGGAGTGTGCTATGAAGCTATGCTTCAGCAGGTTAATATCGTGATCAATGAATCATTTGACACTGGTAAAGGGGAAAATGCTGTCATAAGCATGGTGCATTTTCATATGAAGAATCATGGCCTAACTCAGTCAATATCAATTTCAATGCTGACAACAGCATAGGGCAAATAAAAATAATACAGTTACTCAAGTTAGTATAATGCATACACCATAATGTAACTTTTTTAATGTAATTCTTTATGTATTTTAGTACTGTGATATTGTTAGGATTATTACTTTTATTGTATTACTATAATTATTATTATTACTATGAACAAGAGTATATAATTGAGGAGGAGAGTGTCTTACTTGCCTATACTGCATTGATGCATGAGCGCGTATCAGCTGAATGTCACAATCCGTTTTACCTCTGTATACTATTTCTATGAATTTCACGAATAAATTATTTGTCATCTGACTTGGGCGTGGTTATACTACACACGTGGTAGCATGTGTATGATTAGAGATGGACTACGAAGTATTGGCTGTAACAACATAACCTTCTTCCTTCTCAAAGCATTCTCTAATTGCATCCAAGGAAGATGCTGAGGTAGAAGCAATCAAAGTGGAGTCAGAGAGGGCACACAGCATCTGCCATTATTAATAATCAACACGTGAAACCACGCCCAAGTCAGATGACTAATAATTTATTCATGAAATTCATACAAATAGTATACAGAGGTAAAACGGATTGTGACATTCAGCTGATACGCGCTCATGCATCAATGCAGTATCGGCAAGACACTCTCCTCCTCCATTATATACTCTTGCTATGAATTATTGTTATTATTATTTCTATTATTACTACTTTCATTACTGCCAGGTATTTCAGTTCTTTAATTATTATGATTTATGTTTACTTAATTATGATGTAACTACGTGTTAATTAATGTTTATATTCTGTTATGTGATCAGTAATTGTCAATATAAGTACATGCTTTTAATCTATTATCAATTCTGTGAAAGTTCTGTTCAGTTTTATTCAAATTCTAAAATATACTTGAGAGTTTTGCCGTGGTTGCCTTTTATGCATTTCGGTCACAACATTGGTATTTGGAGCTACAGATCTATCCATTATCTTCTACTTGTCACCTCCATTTCACTCATTACACAGATGGCAACAAATGGGAAATGTCACCGTTTGACGCCACTAACAATTTGTGGACGTCCTACATAGGATGAATTAAGTTCTTCAAGTCCAATTGAATCATAGATGGTGATATCCAAAAGCTGTCATTATCACAATCTTTGG